CCAGAGAGGCCAGGGCGAATGGGGCAACACCCTCTCCCCTCCGGGCAGGCATGCTGGCGCGGTTTAACACATAGTCCATTCGCTTTTCTGCTCCAAGCGTTTGGTTTTCTGCGCTAAGTCCTTGTGCTTCTGGGGCCGTGGCCGTGCTGGAGAGCTGCTCGTGGGGGGCAACTGGTGACCTCGGTAGGGCGTGAAGGACGGACCGGAACGCCCCCCTTCCCATGAGGTCCCTGCTGCCCCCACCCCCGGCTCAAACCTGCTGTCCACAAGGCTCCCGTGTGGCCGCCATCTTTCTTTCCAGAGAGGCCAGGGCGAATGGGGCAACACCCTCTCCCCTCCGGGCAGGCATGCTGGTGCGGTTTAACACATAGTCCATTCGCTTTTCTGCTCCAAGCGTTTGGTTTTCTGCGCTAAGTCCTTGTGCTTCTGGGGCCGTGGCCGTGCTGGAGAGCTGCTCGTGGGGGGCAACTGGTGACCTCGGTAGGGCGTGAAGGACGGACCGGAACGCCCCCCTTCCCATGAGGTCCCTGCCGCCCCCACCCCCAGCTCAAACCTGCTGTCCACAAGTCTCCCATGCGGCAGCCATCTTTCTTTCCAGAGAGGCCAGGGCGAAGCTTCTCATTCTTTACGGTTAACAAAAGACTGGCAGTAGCATTGATGAAATGGCACATGGTGATTGGTTGTGCCCACTTGCTGGGCCCAGGGACTTTCTGGTTGGCTAGTTTCACATTGTTTGGGCCCACTTTCAGGGCCCAGGAACTTTCCAGGTGGGGTTAAGTTGGCTAGTTACACATTGATTTCTGGGAAACCGAAACTGTTTCAGTTCCAGAAACTGAATTTAAGGCCTAGATGATTTTTCTCATTTCTGCTTTCATGGCATTGCCATTGCTTATTGTATGATTCATCTTTTCAGAGTGTCACCATATGCAAAAAGTTTACAAATAAAAGTTCAATTGTTATAAGGAGTGGCTGGATATTCTGATCTGTTTCAAAAACCGTTTGACTTCACAGTTATGTATTTAGAAAAGGGAGGATGATTTTAGTAGCTTTTTCAGGTACATTCTTCTTCAATATTATACTGAAAATATTATATTGGAAACATATTAGTTTCTGAAAGATTGTCAGTGATTTGTGATCAACACCTCTAGCACTCTGAATGGATTTTTCTTCTGTGTTTTATCTGGTAACATCATGTCTTAGTCATCTGTAAAACACTGATGTTACTTACGCTGATCTTCGAATGCTGATTAAAAATCATTATGTAATACACCCAAAAGTCACATTTGTTCATCTTACCCACTGTATTAGAAAATCAAGGAAGCTGTAAAGATTTGAGTGTAAGATACAAGTTTTTCTGGGAGTATGATACAGCCAATAGGTCAACCTGTACCCACAGGGTGAGTGCATCAACAGCCTGATGGTGCCTTCAGGCTTCCTGACACCCCAAAATTGCCACTGTGCCTTTGACCAGACCCCAACAAATTGGGGTCAAGTTTACTAAGAAATTAGATGGCCAAAAGTTAGGTGTATGAGAGCCATGCCCACAAACCACCTCTGGCTCAGCTATACAAACTCATTTATTGACCTTATCTCAGAGACCCATTGATAAATCTCGAAAGAGATCAAAAGCTGCAGTTAATCTCAGACTCACACATGGCTGAACAGACTGGGGTAAATGGGAGGGGGGTGGCTTGGCCTGTGCCTGCCCCAAGCAGCTGCTTGCTTCCACAATCTAAAATCGCCGCCACACCCCCGGCCTAACTCCATTGTATCAGGACAGACCTCACCAAGATATAATCTGCTGAAAATTTGGGTATTTGTGTCTGAAATCTCCAGGATTTTATGGAGTTGGGGTGGGCTACCTCCCCCCACTTCCCAATACACAGGGAAGCGCTGGCAGTCAACCCCACGAACCAACTCCCGCGCCACCCTGTAAACTCTTATTACTGGCCTTGCTTCAGAGACCCATAAGTAAATCTCGAAAGAGATCAAAAGCCAGAGTCACAGCAGCAAGTCCCAAAAGACACCACAGAACTGGAGATCTCTCCAGACCCCATACCAAGCCAATTTCACCTGGGTACCCCAGATGGAGCAGGTGCAGTCCCCCCACCTACTCCAGATGGAATCCTGGTGACCAAGAGCTTCCACAAGCAAGGCTCAGGTATGTGGGTTCCAGGATTAAATCTCCATGCCGCACGGAGGCAGAAGTACGGGGCTGTCCCTCCCCAGCTGCCCGCACTCTAGTTGGCCTGGATGTTATGCCCACAATCTGTCTCCAGGCACCATCTTAGCACATCAACAGCCCTGGTCCAGAGACGCCCAATTAAATCCCAAAATGGATTATTGCCCTATAGAAATGTCTCTGGAATTCAACCATCCAACCATCTACAATCTAGGATTCTAGAAGTACATGGCCACAGCACCCGACATTAAAAATGAACAATATACAATAAATGATCTAGAATCTGCCCCTGGCAGGAGGCTTGAATGATGGTGGGAAAATTTGAGCAAAACATAATGCCCCAAAGTAAAGAGAGTATTGGGGAAATTGCCTGCCTTGGAGGCAGGGTGAGGACTGGGATGGGGAGGGGATATATTGGGGACATTGGTGGTGGAAAGTGTGCACTGGTAGAGGGATGAGTGTTCGATCATTGTACGGCTGAATCTCAAACATGAAAGCTTTGTACCTGTATCTCACAGTGATTCAAAAAAAAAAGAAAAGTAATGAGGAGTTCATGCCCAATTCAATCAGCTTAATCAATGTCTGAATAAACAACAGTACTCTTACATAAAAAAAGATACAAGTTTTCTAGGGTTACTAATTTTGCAAGAAATCTCAATTTTTACCATTGTCAACAAATGACATCAACTTTTCTCGAAGTGAAATAATGAATCTGTTCCATGAAACATCCAAGTGTAAATAACAAACTGCAGTTTTTTATCATTCTTTTTAGTAAAACTGGTATTTAAGGGTCCAGAGAGATCGTTTCAGGGGTCACACACTTTGTCATGACACAGTCAACACAGGTTGAATTCCCTGCCATTACATATGAGCCCCTGTGCCCCACTAGTGGTGATCCCTGAGCACAGAGTAAGAAGTCCTGAACACTGTCTGGTGTGGACCGGAAACAGACAAACCAAAATCATGGTATTCTATAGAGGAATATGAGCTATTTTAATTCACTGCTCAGTCAAAGGAGTGCACACGAGAGAGCCAGTCACCATGTGTTGGCTGGTGGCAACAGTGCTTTAAGTCATTTTCTCACAAAGAATGTTGAAGAGATATGCATTCAAGGATGGAGAATCTGCAGCATCAGTCATCTGGCCTCTGCCTTGATCTGCACTTACATATCAGAGGTTTTACTCACCACTGCTCTATACCCTGCATGCAATAATCAACTTAGTTCAAAATGCAAGTAACATCTTGGCATTCAAAAATTAGTTTTGCAAGCTTTCTATGTCTATCCCTTTCATCTAGGGAACATAAAGTAACAAAATAGGAGACTAACACCCAAGAATGGCTGAGATTAGTACCAGGAATTTTGCTCGATGGCTTGGAGGCCAGCCACACATGCTAGGGGAAAAGGGAGCTCAGATAGAGAAGGGAGCACCAAATAAAGGGTGTTGGAAGGATCCTCCCAGGATGGGAGAAGCATGCTGAAAGTAGACTATAGACCAAACATGATTGTCACCCATTGCCTCTTTTGCAAACCACAACACCCAATAAGAGAAAGAGAACGAAAGGGAATGCCCTGCCACAGAAGCAGGGTGGGATGGGGGGGAGGGTAAGGGGGGTGGGATACTGGAATCCGTGGTGGTGGGAAATGGGCACTGGTGGAGGGATGGGTATTTGATCATTGTATAATTGAAACCCAAGCACAAAAATCTGTAAGTCTACAACTGTACCTCATGGTGTCTCACTAATAAAAATATAAAAAAAATTAGTTTTGCATTATATGACTGAAATCAAATCATTAACAACTTTGTAAATGTGTGTATCATTGTGTGTGATTCAATTTTAAAAGAGGAAAAAAAAATTTTTTTTAATTAGTCTTGGCTTTGCAGATGTCCTGAAACACACGCCCCTAAGAATCTGCAGGCCAAGCTCTGACAACCACAATGCTACCTCATCTAAGCAGGAAAAATTCTGGGAAGAATATTAAAAACAAAGATAAAGCATGTTCATAACATAATCAAGTGAAATGAAAGTAAAAAAACGAAGTTGATGTCTGATTCTAATTCTACCTCTAGAAATATGATGAAATATGGAGCATAAATGATAAAATCAATAGAAAAGGGTAGCACAGTATATTCAATCAAACACATAGTCACCAAATGAAGTCATAAGCATCATTTTGATATGAAAATTTTTTTATTAAATATCAAAAAATATAAACTGCATATACCATAATCTCATTTCTGTTTATAGCCCAGTGTTTAATTGCAGCAGCCTTCTAGACAGGAACTAGAAATGGGATGAGAAAAAATGGGGATCTGAAGACTCTTTTTATTCTTTTGTCTATGCTGGATTCTCTAGTTCTTTTATAAAATTTATTTATTATTATTTTTACTTGAAAAATGTCAATTAAAGATCACATAGTAGATGACTTAAAATTATAGAAATAGTATATAAAAATAAAGTGCACAGTTGTTTAATATCACAGGTGTCCCTTATTCTTTTTCCTTACTTACAGGGAGCCCCAAATATTTCACTATTACTGAACTAGTTCACTAACCATTTAACAATGTGACCTCCTTCTAAAGAGAGTAAGTACAACTTGTAATAGCTACACGTTCTTCATTTATAGGGCAGAATTTTCACAGTATAGGAAAATATCATATTCACCAAAAAACTGTTAATGTATGAAATCACTGAGCATTACATTTTCCAAATATATTGCTAGGATAAAGAAATTATGAAACAAGGCAGTGGCACAGTTTCTTAAATAAATCTTTTTAATATTTATTCAATAAAAATTTTATTCAATGATAATCTCAGGCTTTCAATGACACAAATATAAACTTTATGTGAATTGTACAAAATTGTTTTAAGACAGAAGTTGTTGAATAAGTAAGTGAGTTTTACTTTGAGAGTTTCTTAATTGAAAAAGATATTACTCTTTAAAAGTAAGAACTCCTCTTACAACACAGTGAGACAGAAACTCTCTGACAATAGCCAACCTAACTAAAAAGACCCTTCTTTTTTGTTTTGGCTACTGTTTTTTTTCTGACATAATTTCCTTCGGCAGGTAATTTTTCCTTCGAAGTCTCAGAGGAAGTCTAGGAAAAAAAAGAAATATTTTATCACTGAAAATGCTTATGCCCTTTTGCAGAACACTAACAGCACCCTTCCCTCACCAAACAAAATGATGGGATCTGTAAAATTTGCTTCTGAATAAAAAAGCAAACAACAGCAACAAAAGAACCCCGAACTCACTCTATCATTTATTCAAGCTAATACCTGTTGTCTTATTCTGAGCTATTCTTAGACACTCAAGGACAGACATTTACTAGGGAAGAAAAGAACTGCACATTACTTCATATCTATGTTTCTTGCTATATTTACTTTGGGTTGACCAAAGTGGCAAACTCTGTTCTCAGAAAAATGTCTGATGAAGTGGTGCCTGAGGATGTGTGTGCACGCAGTGTGCCCACACAGTCCTGGGCACACACGCATGTGGAACAAAAGCACAGAGAGAGATCACTAGGAGAGCATGGAACTTACCTCTCTACAATGCTAGCCTGCAAAAGCAGTTTGATCATCACCATCACCCCAAGAGTTGCTGGGAGATAGTACATACTCAAAAGCCATTCACCAAATTAATTTTTTTAAGTACTTTATGTTTTAAAGATTCTTGAGACTCAAGTAAAAACTAGAGATCCACTTCTGAGGAAAAAAGATAAGTATGTGCATGATACCTAGCATGATTTTCAGGAGCCCATATCAAATGAAATTTTTGAATCCTGAGTAAAAAATAAATAGAAATTGCAGAAAATTTTTTTAAACACAGAAGTTGTACACTAGACCATCTGCAAGTGAAAAAAAAAACTATTTTAAGTAACTAAATGGTCCCTAAACTTATAATTGTATTCATTTTTGTTATCTTAGTTTAAGCATTAGATCCTCAAACTAATATAACACAGAAATCATTATTAAATCTGATTTCAATCAAACCACTTGAAATCTGACAGTTACTTTCCACAAGTATATGATCAACTTTATAAAGTGGCCTCGTTTAAAATGAGGCTTCAGACAAAGTATCTAACTATTAATCTAACATATAAATGTGTAGTTCATTCCATTTCAAGAATAAAGGCCATGGGGCCAGAGCAATAGTACAGCGGGGAAGGCATTTGCCTTGCACATGGCTGACCTGGGTTCAATCCCCAGCATCCCATATGGTGCCCTGAGCACTTCCAGGAGTAACTCCTGAGCACAGAACCAGGAGTAACCCCTGAGCATCTCTGGGTATGGCCCAAAAAGCCAAAAAGAACGAAGGCCATAAGTACGTATTATCCATCAACTACTTTTTAAAAATTATTTCCAGCACTCGTGAAGGAATGGCTGTTGAAACATTGTATGACTGAAACCCAATGAATCAAGAACAACTTTGAAACTGTGTACCTCACAGTGATTCAATAAAATTTAAATTAAAAAAATGTATTTCCAGAAGGCTGGAGTACAGTAGGTAGGGGATGTTTGCCTTGCACACGGCTGATGCAGTTTCGATCCCTGGAATCCGTATATGATCCTCCAAGCACTTCAGGAAAATTTAATCAGAAGTAATCCCTGAGCACAGAGCTTAGGGTAACCCCTGAGCATCATCGGGTGTGGCCTCCCCAAAAATATTATTTCCAAATATTTCAACGGGGATAAAATTAATTCTTGGCAGAAATGAAAGTTTTATACTTGAAAAAGGTTAAACTTGTCACGTGCTACAAGTTATTAAAGAAATCCAGTGCTGGGGCCAGAGACAGTAGAGCCGGGGAGGTTTCCAGCCTAGTTTTAATTCCTGGCATCTCATAAGTCCCCTATCACCATGGGAGTGATCCCTGAGAATCGAGCCAGATTCCTGAGAATCGAGCCAGAAGTAAGCCCTGAGCACAAGTGCAGTCCCAGATATTAGTGATAATCTATTTTATTAAATCAATTATACCTGTGGGTAACAATCTGTAAACAGATCCTCTATTTCTGAATCGCTGAATGGCTGGTCCCAAGAAGTTAGTCTCTGACTTTCTTCTTTCAATGCAACATCATCAAAACATTTCTCATTGACCTTCAAAATTTGTATGAAATATAAAATAGTTAAAGTATGCACTATTTTTCTTTTCAAAGTAAAAAACTTGTATCTAAAAATAGCAAGGCTTAAAAAAATTATTCTGAAGGACTGAATTGTAATAATATGCTCACAGCATTATTACCCCTAAGGCATTTCTGAGGCTCCTACAACAGATTCTAAATAACAATTTATATTTCAACTGATAATGAAACAGCACAGGACAGGATATATCACTTTCATGCAAGGCAAGAAACAAGTGATGCAAGAGAGGGTCTGGGGAGTGGGGCAGCAGTAGCAGGACACCACATAATTCAGTACCCTGTTTTTAAGTAATAAGTGCACAAGAATATTTCATAAGCTTCATGTAATGATCACCTCACCATTATTTTTCAAAATTTAGCATAAAATCTGGGAAATTATGCATTAAAATGAGACTGTTTTTTAATCTTTCTGAATTTAGCAGAAAAGTAGGTAAACTGGATAGCAAGGCCAAAAGTCCTTGAAACTTTTGGTGAAACTAAACTTAAAGGTATTTTCAGAAAACCCAAACTTTAAGAATGTGGAGACAAAACACTTAGAGCCAGAAGACCTACATATTCCAACAGTTATATGAAAGAAATCATGTGCAAATCCTGAGATACCTGTGAACAGTAAAATCCCGAAAAAGCTAACAGGTACACAATGAGAAGTTATATTTAAGATAACTTCCCTGAAATTCCAGTTGGAACACTGTAACTTTGTAGAAATAAAAAACTCCATATTTAGGGGCTCGAGGTATACTGCAGTGGCTGAGGGCATGTGATGCCTTCAAAGGCCCAGTGTCCCACATGCACAGTGATGCTGGCCACTCTGCTCAGGAGCCCAGGAGCTCTGCAAGGTTTCTGGAAAACAGGTAAGTACCTCGTAAAGGGATGCAACTCCCATGTGCAACCACAACTAAGAAGATGGGTGAGTGCCACAGCCAGGAGGTGCCATCTCTGGACAGCAGGACGTGTGCGTGGCAGTGGTTCTGGATGAGCAAAGGAACCGGTCCATAATACAGAGCTTCATGAACAGTTACAGTTTATGCAGTTCATAGCATGAAGCCAGTTTTTCAAGAAGCGCTAAAGGAACTTCTTTAAAAGACAAGACAAACTACTCAGCCCTTGGCCACTGAGTATGGCATTCACTCATGGCACTTACCCTTGTCCTCCACTAGATTAAGAAAGGTCTGTTTATCCCCAACTTGCTAAGGATGCTATTCTTTTCCAGTAATGAATTGATGCTTCATTTATGCTGAATGTACTAAATCTATCCAGGTGATTTTGTTACATCTATAGAGATTTTTTATTGTAAGCTGTTACCTATTAACACAGATACTTAAATATTATCTGTATTTCCTAATATAAAGCCAATACCTATTTTTTAGGATAAAACACACTTTTATACTTTTATAGGCTTATTCAGATTTTTCCTTAAATTTTTCCTAATTCTCCTCACTACTACTATTTTTTTTTTCTTTTTGGGCCACACCTGGCAATGCACAGGGGTTATTCCTGGCTCTGCACTCAGGAATTACTCCTGGCAGTGCTCAGAGGACCATATGGGATGCTGGGAATCAAACCCGGGTTGGCTGCGTGTACGGCAAACGACCTACCTGCTGTGCTATTGCTCCAGCCCTAAATTTTATATGTAGGATTTCTCTACTTCATGTTAATTTTAAAATGTACAAGCAAAAAATTATTCACATTGATAACTTTTAAATTTTATTTACCTATAAAAAAGATACATATTTTGAAAATAATTTTTCTTTATCAACTTCCTAATTTACATGCTGGAGAAATTCAGGAGTTTAGCTTTATTTATCTGTATATGTATAGGTGTAACCACCTCCACAATTAAAAAAAACATCTTCCTCATGTGGGATATAAAGAAACACAGTAAGGGACCAACAACGAATTGCCAGAGTCATCAGAATTAGAGTTACAACAAAGAGAGATGGGAAAGGCCTTTGAGACACAGGTGCAGGGAGGTGGGTTGCTCTGGTGATGGGTGTGGTGCTGGAATAATGCATGCACGTAAAGTGTAAGTAACAATATTGTAAATCCCAGTACATCAATAAAAATGGTTAAAAATACAGCATCACAACTAGAATAGTACCTAGTACATAGTAGATCCTCAATAAGAATTTATTGAAAGAATAAAACATGAAACTTTTAAAAATAAAAGCATATTGGAATAGCCCAAAATCTTGATCAGCAATTACCCTCATATCATCAATGTAATAGGAACGTAATTATCCTCATTCTGTGTAATAGGAACCAGGCATAAAGAATGTCAGAATGATGAAACTGCCTGGCAGTGTTTTACCATAAAACTTGTTTTCAGTCTCATTCACCACATAAACTGCCATATGCTTATTATTACAGTTAATAACAAACTTTAGAGCTATGTAGTTCAGATGAGATGTAAATATTACGTTGACAACTTCACACGATCACGATCATCCTGGTGTTCGTCCATTGCCTCGAGCAGGCCCCAGTAACGTCTCCTTTGCCCTAACCCTGAGATTTTCAAAAGTGCCATATTTAAGGCACTTTCAGGATTAGGAGAATGAGACCCATCATTGTTACTGGCATTTGGCACAATGGGTACATTACGGGGAGCTTGCCAGACTCTGCCGTGTGGGCAGGTTACATTTGGTAGCCTGCCAGGTCGTCCAAAGTAAGAATGAGATAGTAAGATGTCACGCAGCCGATATCTTACTATCTTTACTTCACACAAGTAAGCTAAATAGATGAACTATATTCCCTCTTTCTGTCTTTAAAAAAAAATTACTTATCAGATTAGACTCACGTAAAGTAAAGTACATTACACTGACTTCTTATAGTAACTTATTCTAGTATTAGAGTACACAAACTGAATAATCTTATACACTAAAAATTGTACATAAAATTAACACCTTCGTACTAATGCCTTCTTCCTTGTGTCTCTTAGAACTTGAACAGCCCTCTTCAGAGTCAGGGTAACACCTCTTTATGCTGGAATCGTATGAAGGTTGGCAGAACGATTTATTATTATGATCTTTTTCCAGAATTTCAATTGCCATGTGGATAAGATATGTGTCAATGTCTTCAGGAACTAACGTTCTAATTAGTTTCATTTGACTCGTATCTGTAAAAGATTTTTGAAATTTAAAATTATGCAGACTATGTTAGAAAACCTAACTGCTACAAACAGTGAAATATGTTTTAGAAAGAAAGGAGGAAGGTTTACTAAGAAAATGTTCCACTCTTTCAAAGGCCTGTAGTCCTACAGGAAATAAATGGTGTAAACACACATCCCTCTGTCGACTGGTTCAGCCCTTCTGGAAAACAGTATGGACGATTCTCAAAAAATTGGAAATTGAGCTCCCATTTGACCCAGCAATACCACTCCTGGGAATATATCCCAGAGAGGCAAAAATGTATAGTCGAAGTGACATCTGCACTTGTTTGTTCATTGCAGCACTCTTTACAATAGCCAGAAACTGGAAGAAACCTGAATGCCCAAGAACAGATGACTGGTTAAAGAAACTTTGGTACGTCTACACAATGGAGTACTATGTAGCTCTTAGAAAAGATGAAGTCATGAAATTTAAATACAAGTGGTACAATATGGAAAGTATCATGCTAAGCGAAATGAGTCAGAAAGAGAGGGATAGACATAGAAAGATTGCATTCATCTGGGGGATATAAAGTAACAAAGTATGAGATTAATACCCAAGAATAGCTGAGATCAGCACCCGGAGGATTACTCCATAACTTAGAGGCCAGCCGGGTATCCTAGAGGAAAGGGCTGTTCAGATAGAGAAGGGAGCACCAAATAAAGGATGTTTGGAGGATCCTCCCAGGAGGGGAGATGCATGTCTAAAGTAGACAATGGACTGAACATGTTTGCCACTCAATGCCTTTTTTGCAGACCACAACACCCAAAAGGAGAGAGAGAACACAGGGGATTGCCCTGCCACAGAGGCAGGGGGGATGGGGGGATGGGGGTGGGAGGGATATTATCCATGGTGGTGGAAAATGGGCACTGGTGGAGGGATGGGTATCTGATCATTGTATAATCGAAACCCAAGCACAAAAAATTGTAAATCTACAACTGTACCTCATGGTGTTTCACTAATAAAAAAAAAAAAAACACACATCCCTCTCTCTCCTGCACCCCCTGTACCTTCAAATTGCCAGTCCGAGAGCAACAGCAGTGCAACTAACTGCATAAGCTGTGTAGTCAAAACTTGAAAAGATTTTCAAAATTTTCGTTTATCTTTTGTAGACTTCCATGTGAATCAAAATTAATAGAAATTTTTGTTAATCAGAATTAACAGAAAATTTCCTAAAAGAAATTAAGCTCCAAATTCTAAAGATCAATGACAAGTTAGCTTCTTATAAATTATGATTAATACAGTAGCTAGTACCTTTAAACAAAATTCTGATAAAAAAGGACCTTACAAAAGAACATCACAATATAGTAAAAGTTAGCTCTTCTTTTAAGTGCCTATTAGCTAAACAAGTGATCTTGAAAAGCTGTCTTATTTTAAGAATTAAGAAAAAACATTTTAAAAAATAATTCAATGGTATATTTTTGGAAAACTATATGAACATTCCTCACAAAAACTAGATATTGAATTCCCAGTTGACCTACCAATACCTCTTCTGGGATACACCCTGGGGGCCCCAAAACACAGCACAAACACCATCTGCACTTAGATATTCACTGCAACACTCTACACAATAGCCAGAATATAGAAACAATCTGAATGCCTGAGAACAGATGACTGGACAAAGAAACTATGGTACATCTACACAATGGAATTTAATGCAGCTGTTAAAGAAAATGAAGTAATGAAATCTGTTTGTACGTGGATGGACGTGGACAGTATCATGCTAAGTGAAATTAGTTAGAAAGAGAGGGACAGACATAGAATGACTGCATTCATTTATGGAATCTGGGGAAAAAAAAAACCCCATAATATAAGCCTAATATCCAAGGCCAGGGAAAACAGAGGCCATGAGAACTGGTCCATGGTTGGAAGCTTGCCACAAATGTGTTAGGGGTGAAGGGCACCTAGGATAGAGAACGGACCAGTATGACAGTATTATTTGGAAATGATCACTCTAGACAGGAGCTGAGTGTTGAAAGTAGGTAAAGGGATAGCACTGTAGCACTGTCCTCCTGTTGTTCATCGATTTGCTCGAGCGGGCCCCAGTAACGTCTCCATTGTCAGACTTGTTATTACAGTTTTTGGCTTATCAAATATGCCACGGGGAGCTTGCCAGGGAGGAAGAGAAGTATCCAGTGTTAATAAAAATTAGGACAGTATTAAAATGTAAACCTCCTGCTAACCAAATGCTTCAAAGTCAAGATAACCCCTAAATATAATTAAATCTTTACGGTAACAGTCTATGAACCAAACCAAAATTATTTGTTCCTTGCATTGTACCATTAATACCACATACCAATTTTACTACTTCATTATATTCAACAAGCAAGGAATCTTTTTGTACGTGTAACTCAGAATTTATTTTGAGTTTATTCTTCTTTAAGGAAAAGAAGTTTCCTGGGCTGAGTAAGTAGTTCAATGTGCTGAGCTGCAGAGACCTGGGTTCAATCTCCAGCACCACATGGTCCTCAGAGCACCACTGGGAGAGACCTCTGAGCATCAAGCCACTATATCCAGTAGAACATTTAGCAACTACAAGGTGTAGCCCAAAAATCAAATGAACAAAATGAAAATAAAAATAAATGTCTCATGAACTTTATATTACACAGATCTTTCTATTTTTCTAGATTTCTAAAAGAGTAATTGCTAAGGTTAAACATTCTTTTAAGGTTAAATACTTCACATTTTGACATATATGGTCCAATTACTTCTAGACTTGACTGTTCAACACAATAACCCCAACCACATGCAGTTACCAAGTACTTAAAATATGGCTAGTGTGGTTAAGGTACCAAATTCTCATTTCTATGTAATTTTAATGAATTTAAAATCTAAGTAATTCTAGGGGCTAGAGTGATAGCACAGCGGGTAGGGCGTTTGCCTTGCACGCGGCCGACCTGGGTTCAATTCCCAGCATCCCATATGGTCCCCCAAGCACCGCCAGGAATAATTCCTGAGTGCAGAGCCAGGAATAATCCCTGAGCATTGCTAGGTATGACCAAAAAGCAAAAAAAAAAAAAAACTAAGTAATTCTAATGAATTTAAAATACTAGATTCTGTTATCAGGAAATTTTACGTATACTGAACAACTTGAGTACCTTCATCTACCTATTTAACTGCAAATTTTATGGAAGCTTGATACATATCAAGTATTTTAAAATAAAATTTAGCACTAGAATTGAGATATTATAAATGTAAATCACATAACATTTCAAAGGATTAATTTTAACAGCACATAAATATCTCATTGGCAATTTCTAAATTTGATTACATGTTGAAATGATGAATATTTAAATATATTGGGTTAATTAGATTACATAATTATAATTAATCATAGCTGTTTTATTTTTTAAGATGGATGCCTACTAGAAAATCTAACACTGTACATTATAGCTCACACACCTTTCTCAGTAATACTGCTCTAGAAAAATTATACAGATTTTCCTACTTGTCAATAACTCTAACTACCTTGTCTAACTGTCATCTTTAAAATTGGATAACTATCTTATTTCATCATACTGTCATGCAACATTGATGAACCAATTTTCTTCTGAAAAATTCACACAAATCGTGAGCTATCACACAGTATCAGTATCACAGGTTAAGTTATTTTGAAAAGAAAATGAAGTACTTCACTTTGAATCAATTTATCTCTAAAATTATAATTTTGTAAAAGTTGTAAAAGTTATGGTAGATAAACAATTACCTACTATTTTAAATCAGTTATGATTTAATGAATATACAGTTATTATGCTATCAATAGCATTTCTAGATATAATCAGAAAAGTTCATGTTTACTTACATATTTCTATAAGTACCCTTTATATTTTTATTTTAAAGGCATCCTACATTACTTATATATAAATGAGTGGCACTAGGTGTTAAAGATGCATTCTGCCCTAACTTCCCATGCAAGTCAATGCTGAAAATATCTAGAAACAAAAATAATGAACACTGGCTGAACTCCTTCAGTGCTTCAAAAGAGATCATATTTCCTCTACTTTTATGGCAGGTCCCTTAGAAGCCACCTCTAATTTCCCACTCTCATGCAGAAAGAACAGGGGAACAAGGTTACTCAAACTGTAATCCAGGTGCCTCATTAAAATCTTTGCTTAATTTATTATTAAGCAGAATTACAAAGCAGTTGAAAATTATATAAATATGAATTAAAAGAAGTTAAAGGTTCAGAATCTCTATAAATATTAAGAGCTCAGAGACAAAATCTACTTAGCAAATAAGGTATCATGAAAATGATAAGTAAAACTTCTCAATTCTCAAATAATCCATTTTTAGGTACAAAGTTATATTAATGTACAGAAATATTCCCAACTAAAGATTGTATAAAATTTAAATACCAATCAAACTTGCTCATTAAAACCTGAATTAACACACTGACATGGGTGCTGCAATTTTGTAAATTAAGTCACATTCCAAGTGTGAGCCACTGATGGCAGACATTAATGTCAATGTGCTAAGTATTGTAGTGACAGTTAAACAAAGATAAATAACACCCAAATATTAATCATTAATGTAGTACGTTATCGCCTTAAAACCCAGGGCAGAGATAACCCAACCGCTGAGTGTGTGCTTTGCAGGCAAGAGGCCTGGGTTCAATCCCTGGCACCACATGTGCTGAACTGCAGGGCTGGAAGTCACCCCTAAGCACTGCTAGCTGAGGCTCAAACACCAAAAAGTAAAATAATTAAAAATAAAATTCAATAATGTTTCTGCCAGTAGGTGATCAAATGTTTTATTTTTAAAATATTCAAAAGTACTATTTTAGATTTATGGATTTATGTATTATAAATCTATTTCAAAGGAAATAAAATGTATAAATGATAGTCATAATCTTTTTGAACTTTCTCAACTTTAACTTTTGTAGTGAGCCACAATAACATGTTTTTTCATATTTTAAGTACAATTTACATACAGTGCAGTGATAAGAAACGAGAACAATGGTATATTTAAAAGAGTTCTCTATAGTCTTTTGGAATTTCACTTCATTATTTATATCATAATAAAATGTAGTCACTATACTTTGTGTATAAGTTAAAGCAAATGTTTGATTTCTATTTCCAATTTTTTTGGTTTTGTTTTTTTGGCTGCACCCAGCAGTACCTGAGAATTACTCCTGGTGGTGACTGCGCCGGTTCGTGCCAGAGTCCTGTATGCTCCAATCTACTGACCAACCTATCTCCCCAGGCCAAAGGCACATGTTTTCACGAATGTTTTAGTCACTAATGGATTACAAAGATTTTATTTAGGTATCTGATATTTTTTAATGATTATAATTTTCTTGCTTATATATTTTGCTTGATTTTTAACACTGCTTAATTTAAAGGTTATCTAATGTCAGAAACAGAATTGAGTAAACTCAGAACATAAAGGGCACTAGACATGGTAGAAAATAACCAGATCTACTTCTATTCAACTGGATATAATTAACCATTTTATTTTACTCATCATTCAAAGATTTGTAAACCAAAATCCTGTATGAAAGTTAGAAACTTCATATTTCTTTTTAAAAAATTGTCAGTATTACCTAAAGGAATAAAATTAGGAAAAATAGGTATATAATATTTATACCAAAATTAAATTAAGAAAAAATTCATTTCATTAGCTTTGAAATGCTATAAAACAATTTCAAAACTCTATATAGGCCTCAAATTACTCTCTCTGAAACAGGGTAGAAATTAGAAAGTGAAAATTTAATGATTTCTAATTTCCTTTCCAAATCTAAAATTCTCCCACTTTAAAAACTCTTGAAAACAAAGATATGAACTATACAGATTCAATTATTTATATACAGATATTTGATTCCACAGTCATAGATTCAACCAACAATGAATGTTGTCACTCTCCATGCCTTCACGTTGTTTAAGAGCCAATCTTATATGGTTTAGAAAGCAAACCAGCAGCACTTTCAATGTTTCTTCCTTTCTATAAAAGAAACCAAATCGTAATTTTAACGTAGGCATATTAAAAACAATTCTATAATGAAAGCAAGGTAGCTCAATATTTTGTAAATGCAGTTGAAGTTCTACAGCAAAATGACAAAAGGAAGCTCTCCTGGGATTGGTAATGACAAGAGGGCCTACAGAACTTGCCCCCCCCCCCGCCCCCCAAAGAAACTTGGCCCATCCCTTCATCGTCAATAGTGACTGCCATCACTGAGTCTTTTAACTAGAAACTTAAAACCATGACAAAGAATCAGAAATGTTTAGAAAAGCCAAAACTCAGCAATGTATAAGATATGAATATCGGGGGAGGAGTCTTTTTTTTCAGTGATTAGGTGGGAATTAGAAAAGGACAAAGGTGCAATATTTGGAGATAGGTACAGATACTGTAATTTGAAGATGAAAAGTGAAACAAAGATTTCTTAAACTAGCTTCTCTCTGCATGACAATGGGAGGAAAGACTGCTTTCTGAAAAAAAAAAAGCATTATAATACTAAAGTTTTCACAGCAACATAAAGAGTTAATGCTGTTAAAATGAAAAATATCAGTGGGTTGCTTGTTTGTTTCACCTGGGTTCAATGACTCAAGTCATTAAGACTGTAGAGGAGGATCATGGTTATCACCTGAGTTGACGGGAGGGTTTCGGATAACATCAGCAATAATCTTCTGAACCTCTGGAGTCAGGCCTGCTCCCTGCGTCTGGAGTGGGTAGCCAGCCCTCACCGCTTGGGATAAGGGCCTGCCAACTGCTGTGAGCGGCAGTCTCCTGTTCTCAGCTTCACGCTTCTAGAGACAGCAATAAAATCACCAGTGAGTTTTCAAAGTCGCTACTGCATGGTATGGAAATAAAACATCCAAAACCGTAAGAAAATACATGTTGAGAAGTAAACAATGAACACAATTTGTCCTAAATTTTCACTTCAACTATTTTTAAAAACTATCCACATTAAAGAACGCTACATTTTCTACTGTTAATACTTATTATATTGAATAAAACAAAATCACCCAGTGTCAGTGATGAAATCAATCCCTTACCTTCTGTAATTAACTTAAAAATTATTAGTATCAAACAACTGTGATTCTAAGTCTGACAGTTGCCACAACCTTTGAATAAATTATATAGCGAAGTATAACCCACTATTTCATATATTTGAAAAACACATGGTACTTTAGATGAATGAATTCCAAGAAGAAAGTTCTAAATTGTTTGGTGATAATGTAAGGCTCTGTATGAATTCTATAAATAGTTCTTGTGAATATTTTAATACTTTTAATCCAATCTATTCCTAACAATAACCACAATTTAACAAGGGCTGTCATTTCTAATTCATCATAAATTCATTTCATGAACTTAATGTGAAATGTGTTAAACTTAAGATAGTGTTACAAACAGACATATATATAACTTTTTAAAACAAATGATGCCCCAAACCTATTTAAATATCATACTCTTTTAAACACTCAACTTTATAGTCGCTCATCTCTAAATTATTTCAATACGTTTCTAGTTTATTCTGAGTCTAAATCTAAATTGTATTTGTGTGAATGTGGGTATTGTTACAGAACAGAACACAAGCCATGTTTTCAACTTTCAAAGATTGGTCTAAAATTACTTTCATTAAATTTCTACCTTTTTCTATCAGACAGTATGCACCATGTGTGCCTAATTTCAGGGTTATTTGATACCAGGCATCAAATTACCTAAAACTAATTGTATTATTGCTCCTGATTAATTAGTCCTTAGGATGTTTAATTTTGTGGTTAACTTGTAAGACCCTCTAAAACTCCTGGGAGGTATAGATAATTATGCCAATATGTTATATAATAAAATATATCCAAAAATATCAAAAGAAATAAATGAAGGTATATCACTCTTTACATCTTTAAGTATGAGTTTGTAATACAATACATGAAACCTATCAGAGCTATGTACTGGAATGCATTCTGTACAGAAATTTTGGAGAATACAATCAAATTCTGTACATATAAGCATATTTAACATATGCATAGTTACTATTTAAATTAAAAAACTGAACTTAAAGTTCCCATTCTACTATTTCAAAAATAGCACAAAAAATTATTTGGTTACTTGTGTAATGGCTCTGTATTTATTTAAGGGATTTGACCAACTGAATATAGCTCTATTAAGTTACTAAGACAAGCTATTGACTCTTTTATTTATATTAAACATTAATCACAATAAAACCATATATTGCAGCCTACTGCATAGAGGCACAGAGATTAGCAAAGCTGACAATAAACCACGTAGCCCTTTTCAAATTAATGTCAAAGAGGGTAGGAACACAAGTTAATGAAAGTTGGCTAGAAGCCTCATTCTGTTCTTATTCCATTAAGATTACTCTCCATTCTGTACATTTAAAAAACCTCAAAAGCCTTATGGATTTATATCAGAACAATGAAGAAACATTAAGCTTAGCCATTTTTCACAGTAAACAGACTTTGTTCAAAGATCATTATGAAGTTTAAAACAGAACTATATAGAATAAAAAAGCAAGTTTTGCTTTTTAAAACGTTTCTAGGGGCCAGATTGGCAGGGCTCTTGCCATGCATGTGGACCAGCTCAATCCCGGGCATCCCTAGGGTCCCCTGAGCACCACCAGGAGTAATTCCTCAGTGCATCATCCGGTGTGGCCCCAAAACAAACAAACAAATGCAACCAACATTTTTCTAGCTCCTTGGAGCCTTCAGTCTACACATCTTTCTATAGGACAGTCAAATATCTAAGCCTGCTCATAAACAGAACATATAGGTTTGCCATTCACCCTGTTCTACGATTTCCGCTTATATTTAGGCAATCTTGATGATTATTTATTTTTGGGACACACACTAATAGTTAATTATTAATCTTATTAATTATTTACTTATTTTTAAGTCATGATTGAAATAATAAGTACAAATAAATATACTTCAGTAATATATTAAGTGAGGGTACTGGCACCCCAGGAAGACGTGACTGGCCCAGGCCATGGAGAAGGAGCCGAGCTGCTGCAGCTGCCGGTCATGGTTCCTGCTCTCCGGGTCAGCTGCGGCCTTGTTGCCGGGCAGCAGTTCGCCGGTGTTAGAAGTGATCAAGTGATATATTAAGTATAAATGGAACATTGTATGCATAAAACCCTATCACTAGCAGTATTGTGAGTAACGGTGCCTCAGACTAAAATCTTTTAAAATAGTAATTATGCAATAAAAAATAAATACATCGATATGCCAAAAACAGTAACAAGTGTCACAATGGAGACATTACTGGGCCCGCTTGAGCAAATCGATGAACAACGGGAAGACAATGATAGTGTATAATCAAAAGAAACTTATCCTAAGACATAGCTTATAATATTCAAAAGTTAATAAAAACACACTTAAGTTAAATATTCTTTCTTGAAAGTGACATTTACCAAAACCATCTTCTCTTCTTGGAATAAAGGGTCTGTGCTGGACACGGATGGTGACGGCAAACAGGCTTCCTTCACCCTCAGTCTGTTGTTCAGTCCTTCCTGAGGTTCTGCACTTGAAAATAAGTCTGTCTAGAAAAGTTTAAACATAACATAGATGATCATTAAAATCCACTTAATGGTATAATGTCAATATGATCACTAGGAATTAGTGGGAAAAAAATACAACTGAAGCCTCTCAATAGTCAGAAATTCTTTTTTAAAAAAATATATTGACTTTAAAAGGTGAGATATGACTAGAAGGAATAAATTTTTGGTAAAATATATATATATATATTATATATATGTATATATATTTTAATTTTTATTAGTTAAACACCATGAGGTACAGCTTTAGACTTACAAATTATTGTGCTTGGGTTTCAATTATATAATGATCGAGTACCCATCCCTCCACCAGTGCCCATTTTCCACCACCACTGATCCCAGTATCCCTCCCACCCACAATCCCCCCCATCCCACTCTACCTCTGTGGCAGGGCATTCCCTTTTGTTCTCTCTCTCCTTTTGGGTTCTGTGGTTGCATTGAGTGGCAATCATGTTCGGTCTATAGTCTACTTTCAGCATGCATCTCCCATCCTCCCAACACTTTTATTTGGTGCTCCCTTTTTTTATTTGAGCTGCCTTTTCCCTTAGCATGTGCGGATGGCCTCCAAGCCATGGAGTGAACCTCTCGGTACTTATCTCGGCTATTCTTGGGTATTAGTCTCCTATTTTGTTACTTTATGTTTCCCAGATGAATGCAATCTTTCTATGTCTGTCCCTCTCTTTCTGACTCATTTCGCTTAACATGATACTTTCCATGTAGTTCAGTAAAATATTTATGATAACAAATATGGCTACAGGATTAAAAATTTCTAAGTCCCTTTTTGCTAATAAGAGGGGAGAAAAATGAAGAGTAACATGACGCACCTCTAAATTAGTTAGCTAGTCCTCTGGAAGTGTTAAAGAATTAATAAATTATTAATATTCAAATTAAGGTACATAGCCTTTCTGCTAATGTCATAAGGAAATACATTACTACTTAAAAAATAGTTTATAATTTTTGGGTCACACTTGGCAGTACTTAGGAGCTATTCCTGGCTCTGTGCTCAGGAGTGACCCCTGGCAGTGCCCCAGACTATCCCCGGAGTCTCGGACCAGCAGGAGTTGGTCTCATGGAAGGCAAGCGACTCACCTCCTGGACTGTGTATCTCCGACTTCAAGATAATATTCATTGAAAAAGATATATACAAGCTGTGGTCCTACACTGAAGTATTACATAAATTCTTAAATATGATTCCTTCAGAGATGTTTAAAAGAAAAAAAAGTATTTTTTAAAAAGCCAGTGATAATTTTGAAATAACTGTACCATGTATGATTCTAAAAATATACGTATAGTTTGCCTCCAAAATGCAAACTCTACTCTCTAAAAGACAAGAAACAATAACCTAAAAATACTAAATCCAAAAGAAAGAGATTCACTGTAAACCACACTCATCCATTTTCACCCTAAGCAAAAGGTGAGTTTAAGTTCCCAGTCCCCATATTGCAGTTCAGCAAACAGACAAATCAGACAGGGGATGACCTAAGGCCGCAGGGATGACTCTAGGAAATGCTAAAAAAGAAAAACATTTTTGATTTAAAAATGGAGCTGCTGTTGGTTGGTCTGAGGGAGAGGAAGGGAGGGAAACAGACTTGGAATGATCTTTCTCCTATATGGGATATAAAGAACCATAACAATGAAATAACAAAGGCCCAATGAGAGAGCATGAGAAGGGGTCTTCAGCAGGAAGCATGCCCTTTGGGGGGAGGCAGGATGGGGATGCCTATGACAAGAAAGAAAATGCAACAGTGGTGCAGGAAAACTTTCAATCTGGAGGAGGGAGAGTGAAAGAAGGTTAAGTGTTACACGTGAAAAGCACTGTAAACTACAGAGCCGAAGGTTAATAAAAAGAAAAAGCCTGCAATAAATAGGCTCAAAAGTAGAAACAGAAATTTAGGCACGTGGCTCAGTTTTATGTAGGTAAATACACAAGAACACGAAATCCCCAATCCTAGGATTACTTTACTGGAATTAGCTTTTGTGTTGATGTGCGAACAAAGCTCCAATATTTTTAAAGATGCAAACTAAAATTACAAAAATTTGAGAAAAGATTCTGTCTTGGGTCATATAATTCAAATAATAAAAATAAGTGGTATATAAAAAAGAAAAAACCCACTTATTTCTATCCCTTACCAGGCAGTAAAATAATATTCAATATCATTTTTATTAAAATCTTCAAATGACAAGATATGTTTAACAAAATGTAAACTTATTTCTATCAAAATGATACATATATCACTCACAAGATTAAGTAGTTCTTTGGTAGTCTATTATAGGTTTCAATATGAACTATAGTAACTTTACTTAAAGTTTTCTTTCTTTATAAGCTTTTCAAAGTAGATATCAAGTTGAGTATATCTTTGGAGGAAAGGACGGGTAGTTGTAAAGCATCAAAATTTTCATTATATGTGTTTCTAGAAAGGATTTAAATATTTTGAATGAGAAGGTATTTTTAAATGAACATCTTAATGAGTTTAATATTCATGCCCTCACAGTTTTTGATTTATATTATAACAGTGTTTTTACTTCAGATTTTCAAGGAAACATATTAAAAGGAAAATACTGTCTTAATAAATATTCAAGTATATTTATTTATATTAATAATACTGCCCTTTGGGGGGGAGGCAGGATGGGGATTAATATTATTTATATTAATAATACTGTCTTAATAAATATTCAAGTATATTTATTTAGTAATATTCTTGACCTGCACATTGTCCAGTATAATTCCTCAAAACAGAAATCAACATTTTCTCTCTTTCAAAAGGTTTTATACTTATTCTTTGAGTACTTATCTTTTGCCCTATTTCAATTTCCTCTCTTGAAAAAGGACTAGGAAGGAAAGCGAATTCATTATTAAATAATACCATTAATTCATAAAAAAAGATAATACTCTCAAGTATCCAAAAAGAGAAAACTTAATCACCACTGCTTTACTAAATTGCTAAGGAATTGTTTCATCTTCAACATATGCAATATAAAAAATTTTCATGTGATTATCTTATAGAAGTCTTTGAAAAGAAAATTTAAAACTGCTTAAAAGATGAACATATTACATTCTGACAATTCAGAAGTGTTCTGCTTTTGGTCAGAGGATGATTTCTTCTCAATACACTGCTGTCCGGAATTGTCAGGAGGCACTAAGAAGTGAAAGAGCCCCTGGATTTGGCCTTCAATATTTCAACCCTTCTTTTTATATGCACTCTGTATCTTTTATCTTAATGAAGCATCTGTTAACTTATTACTCAGGGAAGGCGAGTGGATGAAGACATAGATTCCAAACAAAGAGCATGTCCTTCCACCATGGCGACTTAGAAGATGAATTTAGGTTATTTCTTAATTTTTGAATATTTATTAAACCAGTATTTCCTTTTAATATGTTTACTTGAAAATTTGAAGTAAAACCTAATACTGTCATAATATAAATCAAAAACTGTGAGGGCATGAATATTAAACCCATTAAGATGATCACTTAAGGCAAACTATGGCAGCAGTTACATCTGTGTTCCTGACACCAGCCTAGCAGTCTCCAGCCACTTCAAACTACCATACCTTGTGGTGCTGGTGCACAAAGCATGGCAAATACACATGAAATTTAAAGAACTAAGCCTAATTAAAGAGATACACATGATAATCTTTCAGTACCTATACTAAAAACCGTAATACCCAAAAAGGGAAGGGGGGGAGAGGAAAAGGGGAAGAGGAGAGAGAGAGAGAGAGAGAGGGAGAGGGAGAGGGCGAGGGGAGAGAGAGAGAGAGAGAGAGAGAGAGAGAGAGAGAGAGAGAGAGAGAGACTTGCATGCTATTAGAGGCAGGCTGTGGGGGGGGGCTGTGGGGGAGGGAACAGAACGGGGACAGGGTGGTGGGAAATGCGCACTTGTGGAGGGACAGGTGTTGGGACATTGTATAACTGAAACCTGATCATGAACAACTTTGTAACTGAGTATCTCACTTGAGTCAATAAAAAAAAATTTTTTTTAAAAAGAACTAAACCTAAATGATCCTTGTCATTTAAAATACATGATACAATGGAAATACAATACAAAGCAGTGATGATGAGTGAAGGGAACAACATGCTTTATTTCAAAAATACGTCATGGCTGAAGGAAAAAGTTGTTAGCCAACAAGAAGGAAAACAGGTAGCTGGGCTGCTCACAGAGAGAGAAAAAAAGCAGGACAAATGCTGCTTTAACTTATATCTAACTTTGAAGGAAGAAGAACTAACCAATCAAAAATCTTCTAAGTAGTCATGGTAGAAAGAGTTTTCTTCTTTTTTTTGGGGGGGGGGGGGGTGGTGGGGATGGGGGTAGTGGAAGGGTTGGCTACACCAGGTAGGGCTGGGGAATCACACCTGGTGGGGGCCACGGGGAACCATACGGCATGCTGGGGATTGAATCCGGGTTAGCGGCAAGAAGGCAAACGTGCTACCTGCAGTCCTGCAGTCCTATCACTCCAGGTCCAAAAATGTTACTTTTCATGGGTGCTTCTGACATGGTCAAAAAGGGGATTTTTTTTTCTCCAAATTCTTGTAATCCAGTGTACTATACCTGAATAGTATTTAACTGACAGAAATCTTTGATAACTTCCAAGAGAGGGGCCAACATGGTAGATTTGCCTTCAGAAACCCCATCAATCCTTTTCACATTTTCAACAGTAGTAGGTCTGTCATTTAAAAAAAAAAGTCAAGAAAGTTAAGAAATCATTGCAGCAACATAGTTTCATATTGATGTTCAGTAAACATTTTTTCTAACAGCCCCAAAACAATGTACAATATAGGTCATATTACTGTCACAGATCAAAAAAAAAAAGGTATAAGAAATCTCATTCACTACTTATAAAGCATTTACCTATAATAGTTAAACCTTACTACTTTAGGCTTTTAGCTCATTATTCTTATGGGGTGTGAGTGTTTGCTTGGGACTGAATCCAGGGCCTCCTCACGTGACGCAGACTTTCTACCAGGGAACTATGTCTCTGCCCCACTGCTGAGGTTTCTTTTGATGTCAATTCCCTGAGATTTCACGATATCTTAGAAACTACCAACCTAATGATCACTTCGATTCCTTTCAAATAACTTTGCTGTATTTCAGATAACAAAGTATGGTGTAAAACTTTTCTTTTTGGTTTTGGGGCCACACCTGGTGATGCTCAGGGGTCACACCTGGCAGTGCTGCGGGGCTGAGGGTGGGAGGAAGCAGCATGTAGTACTGGTCACATGCAAGGCAAGAGGTTTAATCCCTGGACTCTCTCTCAGGCCCACTGTTTCGGTTTTAGGGTCATATGCAAAGGTGCTTGGGGGTTACTCTTGGAGGCTGCTCCATTGGTGCTCAGGGAACCATGAAGTACTGTGTCTCAAACCCAGCATTCCTGCATATAAAACATGCACCCTGGCATATTATCTCCCCACCCTTAGGGAAAAAAATGGGGCAGGAGATCACATTCAGTGGTGCTCAGAGGATACTCCCTGTGTTCAGGGACCGTGAAGTGCCAAGGGTCAAGTCTCATGCATGCAAAGCATGCGCTCAAGCCCACTGAGCTATCTATCCATCCAGTCCCAAATTAAATTTTTAATGAAATATTTGCTACAAGGTATATGCTCAATTTTATTAGATTTAGGAAACTCTGTCTTAAGATCTCATGGGGCCAAAGAGAGTATAGGAGGTAAGAGTCTTGCCTGGAATACAGACAAACTGGGTTTGATCCACAGCACTACATATGGTTCCCAAGCACTCTCAGGAGTGACTCCCAAGCACAGAGGCAGGGACAAGCATTCAGAACAACTGGACGTGCCCTCAAAACAAACAAACAAATCTTCTGAATAAATTTAGTGACAGAAACCACTTCCTGAAAAGAAACACAGAAGATAAATAGAATCGATATAATCACCAGCCAATTAGTCTTTGGAAATAACATCTTTATGAATATTTATTGACCATTCAGTATTTATTAGGCAGTGTGGAAGGTGCTTTGGAAGACACAGAGTTGAGGAACAAAATACCTTTAGCCACAGAATTTTAAATCTAGAAACTCTAACACATGTATACCAATAATAAGGAGAAGGAAAAAGAAAATACTGTGTGATAAAAGCATCCTTGGAGTGTTAAAGATCTTTATTAACATTCCATAGAGAAGAATTGCTTTACTGATATGAAAAAAGATTCTAAAGTGTAGCAGTGTAATAAAAATCCTTAAGGATTTCCTAACAAGAATTTTGGGCAATCAAGGAAACTGCAAAACAGAAGCAACACTGAAAATAAGTACATGGAAATTGAAAAGGGATCTTCAATATGTGATAAGTAATCTAGGTAAGTCTAACCTTTCAAATCTCTGTGAACTGACAGAAAAAAATCTTAAGGTCTATGAACTGAAGGTCTTGAATTGTAAGGTTTAAAAAATTAAGACTGGGAAATTACTTAAGCAGAAGTACAATATTTTAAAGTAAAGCTAATTTACCACTTATATGTCAGATGGAAAAGAGAAGTGAATGGGGACAAAGAAAAAAAAAGTGAAGAAACATTTGGCAGTAGTCAAAGGTAATTAATGATTTGACAACAGTGTGTCTCTAAGGAAAGTGTGAAAGGACAAAAAAGACACATAAGAACCTAAAAACCATGGCAGTAAGATGAAGGTGAAAAAATATATATATATATATACACACACGAGTGAAAATAATAGTAGTTTTAAACCTACATGAATGGGAACAAAACTTAGAAAATTATGAGTCCAGTCTTTGCATGAAATATACATACTGGTTTGTGAATCATGTACTGGATTATATACGCTCTGAATATGAATCTGGATATAAATCCTGAAAACATACAGTTTTTTATTCATGCAGAAATTCAAGCTCAGAAAAGAGACTTGAGATAAACCTCAATTAAGTAACAGTTGAAGTTAGTCATTGTATCGCACAGTAAAAAATTTCAAAGGATTGGAGGGATAGTACAGTGGTTTGGGCACTTGCCCTGCATGCGGCCAATCTGGATTTGATCCCTGGGACCCCATACTGTCCCCTGAGTCCTCCAGGTGAGACTCCTGAGCCCAGAGCCAGAAGTAAACTCTGGCACTGCCCAGTGTGACCCAAAAGACAAAAAACAAAACAAACAAATGTATGTATTTTACAATTTTAATGTTGTTTGCAAATAAAACTCGTATAAATAGATGACTTACCTCATTTTGGCCATATCCAGCAATATCTTATTTGTTGCCAGAATGGCTGGTGGAACATTCATTTTATTGGCATGTTTCTGCCTGGCTTCTACTAATTTGCAATATAACACAGTCTGAACCAAAAAAAGAATAAAAGCAAAGATTAACAATTCAGCATTTTTAGATGTGCTTAAGAAAACCAAGTCCATTATTTGAGCTTCAATATAACATTTCTCAGGATAAAAATAGACCTGAACTCTAACTCACACTCTCAACTAAAGCATGGTAGCACTGTCTTCCCATTGTTTATCAATTTGCTCAAGCGGGCACCTGGCAACACAGGCTGAACCTCATATCCGGGGCACCCCGGAGGGGCGCAAGTGAGTCCCCCAACTTGCCCCACAAAGCCCTGGCAGCTGAAAACCTTCAAAACCCAATTGCCGCCATGCTCACGGCTGATCTCCACAGGCTTGGAAAAGCCTCATCCATGAGAGAGAATTTATTGAAATACTCAGCTATTGAGGTTTTGTGGCCGAAATCGCCAGGTTCTCACAGAGACAGGGATGGGCTATCTCCCCCATCCCCAATCTTCCAGGAGCCTGGCAGTCTCACACACAGACTGCCTCTGGTGCCATATAAGCTCATTATCAAGCCATGATCCAGAGACAAACAAATACATCTTGGAAGAGATCAAAAAGGTGCAGAGATGCCTCCAGACCCCAAAGTCTCCATTCAGTTAAAAACGTAATTCCAGCTACATCAACCAATTCAAAAATGTAGAATACCTGGACATCTCATACTCTACACAACTGATGTGCCAGGAGTAGCACACACTGGATAAGATGTGAAGTAGAAGACAAACAATCTTGACTAAAGAAATAGTAGCACACAAGATTCAAACTGTAGCAACATGTTGGTAATCTCTTATACAAAGGCTCAATAGCTCCTGGGTGAGATACAACAATCCTCACATATTTCCTTCTAAGGAAACCTCTTTTGATAATTTTTAGAGAATTATTCATAACAAGCAATTAAAAAATAAATTATTTAGGACCTGCCTGCTATTGGGGGCAGACTTGGGTGGAAGTTGGGAAAATTGGAAATAATGGTGGTGGGAAGGTATAATCATGGTGGGATTGGTTTTGGAATATTGAATGTAATAAATCATTGTGAACTTTATAAAACTAAAATTAAATTAAAAAATATTGGCAACAGAGTACAGAAGGAAGGTCAAACATGTGGCTGCTATGGTAACCATAACCTTGGTTCAAATCCCAGGTACCATGTGAGCAACACCAGGGGTTATTCCTGAGCACAGAGTCAGGAACAGCCTCGAACACTGCTATCACACGTGTGGCCTGACCTCATTTACCCCAACCCCTCCTTCAGCCAAATACTGGCTAAATAAGTGTAAGCATGCCTCAAATCCTAACTATCCTCTCATAAACCAAGTGCCACTTTACAAAATCCTTACCTGAGTCTCCTGCTCTTGAGCTGAGACCACGGGTTCTGAAGATCTGGAAAATTTCCCTGATGACTCCACCATGATGCTAAAAATATTTAACAAAAAGATAGATAATAAAAGTATTTTTCCTCCTAGTTCACTATTCATGTCACCCCCACAAATAAAAAATATCTTAACAAAAGTGATCATTAACATTTATTCTTCTCAATGCCAGTAAGGCAATTTGGTATTTATTTATAGCTTACTTTTAAACAATTTGGATCAGATACGGCTATTCTGAAGATGGAATTTTAGGATTTTTTTTCCCCTTTGTGATCCACCAGGCAGTGTTTGGGGGTTGCTTCTGGCAAGATGCAAGGGGAACCGAGTGATGGTGAGATTGAGCTCAAGCCTGCCAAACGCTAAGTGAGCACTTAACCACCCGCTGAGTCACCTCCCTGTGCTCAGAGGGCAAAGTTTAAGCTGCAGAAAATAATTTAGTATCTGCACTGAAGAGAATGTTTGCTGCTACTGTGGGGGGCTACTTCTGGTAGCACTGATGGGCAAGGGGACACTTGGGCCAACACTTGGTGTTCAGCAGGGCCATGTGGTGGCAGCAATCAAACCTGGAGCCACAAAGCATGAATTCTGCCACTTAAGCCACATACCCAGTCCAAGGGGGTTTAACATTTTCTTAAAAACAAGAGGGATACAGGTCGCTGGGCCTCCCCTCTAAGCAGGTTCATCGGTGAGCTCATCCCTGCCACGCATGACAGCACCCCCACCTCCGGGCAGCCAGAGGAGACTTTGGGGAACACCCTCTCGAGTTCCACCAGAGTGCTGTCCACCTCCTCTCCACGTCGCCTTTTTCTGCAGGTTCTTCCTTCAGCGCATCCCCACCCCATATGCCCTGCGTGCGTGCCCTTTCCCCGCGGGGGGCCCACACCACTGGGAAGGCAGACAGGACCAGGCACTGGCATCTGGAACTGGGTAGAGGTGTGGCCTCCACTGTAGGGGGCGTGGTCTCCACAGAAGTGGGCATGGCCTTCTGTGTGGCCAGCAGCCGCTCATGAGTCCGCAGTTAATTTCCCCATTCCCAGCACCCTCAACTCACATGCCAACCTTAATCACCTAATTCTGTGCAAAACGTCCCAGTCGCCTCAAATATAACGCAACAACAATATGACGGCCTATACCAACTCCATTAAAAGACTAGTGTACACAAGAAGTTGTACAAGCCCTATATAAAACCATCCTCCAATGCTTTACAAGATGCCTATCATAAGTCACAGAATAATGTTTGAGAGGAAGGACAGATTCTAGAAGGGGAGAAGGGTGACCATCATCGACGGAACTCATTCAGAACCCTTTCCCGCAATAAGAGGGAATAGTGCTAGTGAACTTGAAGGTGCCACCTCTATACAACCACAACAACATGAAGAAACAGTGCAAATCTCCACTAAGACGAGAGGACAAAGAAAAGAGTCCTGAATCCTAAACATGGGTTACCCATGAATACGATCTCTCCAATAAAGAATTCTAAGAAGCATTATTCTCAATGGGGAAAAACTAAGGGCCTTCCCTCTAAGATCAGGGACAAGACAAGGATCTCCACCTCTGTTCAATATACTACTGGAAGTACCTGCAATAGCAGTTAGGCAAGAAAAAGATATTAAGGGCATCCAGATAGGAAAGGAAGAAATCAAGCTCTCACTATTCGCATATGATATGATACTCTATCTAGAGAATCCTAAAGCCTCTACCAAGAAACTCTTAGAAACAACAGACTTGTACAATAAAGGTGCAGGCTATAAAATTATACCCAAAAATTCATGGCCTTCCCATACGCAAATAATGAGACAGAGGAAAGTGACACGAGAAAAACAATCCCATTCGCAATCATGCCCTAGAAAATCAAGTACCTCGGAATCAGTCTAACTAAAGAGGACCTCTACAACAAAAATTACAAAAATGCTACTCCATAAAATAAAACAGGAAACAAGGAAATGGAAACATATCCCTTGCTCATGGATAGGAAGAATCAACATTGTCAAAATGGCATTAATCCCCAAAGCATTATACAGATTCAATGATCCCTATAAGGATACCCATGAAATTCTTCAAAGAAATAGATCAAGCACTTCTGAAATTCATATGGAACAATAAACGCCCATGAATTGCTAAAGCAGTTCTTGGGAAAAAGATGTTGGGGGTCATTACCCTCACCAACCTTAAACTCTACTACAAAGCAGTAATAACTAAAATAGCATGGTACTGGAACAAAGGCAGAGCTGCTGATGAATGGAAAAGGGTGAAATATCCTTACACACAACCCCAAATGTATGAGCATCTAATCTTTGATAAGGGAGCAAGAAATGTGAAGTGGAGCAAGGAAAGCATCATTAGCAAATGGTACTGGCGTAACTGGACAACCACATGCAAAAAAATGGGCTTAGACCGCGACCTAACACCATGCACAAAAGTCAGATCAAAATGGATTAAAGATCTCAAAATCAGGCCGGAATCCATAAGGTACATTGAAGACAAGGTTGGCAAAACCCTCCATGATATTGAGGCTAATGGTATCTTCAAAGACGACACTCCACTGACCACCAAGTGGAAACAGAGATAAACAAATGGGACTATCTTAAACTAAGAAGCTTCTGCATCCAAAAGATACAGTGACCATCAGAACAGCTGCCGGCTCGCGACCCTGGGACCTCCATCTTTCCCTGCAGGACCCCAGGTGTCCCCCGAGATGCCTGAAGAGAAGCAGTTTTGAGCGTCTGCCCTGCCCTCTTCACTCCTGACCTGACGGCGGCGCCCATCTCATCCCAAACCCAGGGTTCTGTAGAGGCGTGGCCTCCTCAAAGTGGGCATGGCCTCAAAAGTGGGCGTGGCTTAATTTCCAGCGTTAGCAGCCGCAGGTTGTTTACCCACGCTAAGGAACCTAGTACCCAAGGAATCTAGTAACCCAACCTACTCAGCAATATGAAGAAACAAAGAAAATCTCCAACACAAGGGGAGAACAACGAAAACAATCTAGACCATTCTGTCAATACAGCTCACCTAAGGGACCTCTCTGACATAGAATTCAGGCACGAAGTCATCAAGATGTTCAATCAACTCAATGAAACAGTCAGACAGACAGCCAGTAACACCACAGAAAAAATCGACAAATTACGAGAAGAAATGAGGGCAGAAATGTCACGATTAAAAGATTCCATAGATGAAATGAGAAATTCAGTTTCTTCTCTTAAAAATAGAATGACCACAGCTGAAGAGAGAATCAGTGACCTGGAAGATCAGCTGCAACAAGCCAACACGCAACAACAAACAGTGGCAAGGGACCTCAAAATGGCTCTACAGAGAATCAGAGTCCTAGCAGATGACTCCAAGAGGAACAATATTAGAATCATGGGACTACCTGAACCTCAGGGAAACAATCCCAACGGAAAAAACACCGTCAAACAAATCATTGCTGAAAACTTCCCAGAGCTGCACAATGCAGCCATTCAGGTTCAAGGAGCCCGAAGGGTGCCAGCTAAAAGAGACCCCAACAAAAACACTCCAAGACATATCATACTTAGAATGATCGATACTGCCGATAGAGACACAATACTGCAAGCAGCAAGAGCAAAGAAGGAAATCTCATACAAAGGAGCATCCCTTAGATTCACAGCAGACCTATCAGAGGAAACCCTACAAGCCCGAAGGCAGTGGCGAGATATAGTCAAAAAACTCATGGAAATGAATGCTTCCCCAAGAATACTCTACCCGGCTAAACTCTCCATCAAAATCGAAGGAACAGTACACTATTTTATAGATAAACAGCAGCTCAGGAACTTCATAGACTCAAAACCAAACCTAAAGCAAGGTCTAAAGGGGCTACTATAAGAAAAGACAAACCCTACAACCACAACACACCCGCACAGAAACATGACACAAAACCCCATAACCATTCTCTCTCTCAATGTCAACGGTCTAAATTCACCAGTTAAGAGACACAGAGTGGCAAAATGGATACAGAGACAGAACCCAACATTCTGCTGCCTACAAGAAACTCACCTCAACAGCCAGAGCAAACACAGACTCAAAGTCAAAGGATGGAATACAATCCTGCAAGCAAACAACTCCCTCAAAAGAGCTGGGGTGGCCATACTAGTATCTGACAACATTAATTTCACCTTGAAAAAGATTAGAAGGGACAGTGAAGGCTATTTTCTCTTCATCAAGGGATACGTACAACAGGAAGAAATCACACTCTTAAATGTATACGCACCTAATGAGGGAACAGCTAAATATTTAAAACAACTGCTAACAGATTTTAAGGAGGCCATCACTACCAACACAATAGTACTTGGAGACTTCAACATCGCCTTATCACCTCTGGATAGATCAACACGAACAAAACCCAGCAAGGAATTATTGGCTTTGAAAGAAGTAATAGAAGAGAAAGGGCTTATGGACTTATACAGGGCTTTACACCCCAAAAAGAAAGAATACACATTCTTCTCCAGTGCGCACGGAACATTTTCCAAAATAGACCATGTGCTAGGACACAAAACATACCTCAACAGAATCAAGAAGATAGAAATAGTATCAGCCATCTTTTCAGACCATGATGCACTGAGGATAGAAGTGAATCACACACAGACACGGAGAACCAAATCAAACACCTGGAAATTAAACAACTCGATGCTGAACAATGAGTGGGTCAGGAACGAAGTCAAGGATGAAATCAAAAGATACCTGGAAACAAATGAGAATGAAGACACAAACTACCAGAACTTATGGGATGCAGCGAAAGCTGTATTAAGGGGAAAATTTATAGCTCTGCAAGCCTATCTTAAGTAGATAGAAACGATGCACATAAACAATTTGACCTCACAGCTGAAGACCTTAGAAAAGGATCAACAGAAAGAGCCTAAATCAGGCAGAAGGAAAGAGATCATAAAACTTAGAGCAGAAATCAACGACATGGAAAACAAAGAAACAATCCGAAAGATCAATGAAACCAAGAGCTGGTTCTTCGAGAAAATAAATAAGATAGATAAACCACTAGCAACACTCACAAAGAAACAGAGAGAACCCTAATAAATCGAA